TGATAAAACGCGATATTTCTGAGTTCTTAAATGTTTTTTAGAAGAGGGTGAGGAGCTCCGAAGGCGGTAAAAAACAGGTCTGTAATACAGGATATAAAAAATTTTCAGCCCTTTCTTCCCTAAGCTTGCGCACAAGCTAGAAAAATTGAGGTGCGAAAAGCCCCTATTGGAAGCAAGTGCGAAATCTCATTCAGGAAACCAACTGAGTAAAACATTTCTATCAGCGTCGTGCTGTGCAATGGAAAGGAAATTTTTTGCACATCCCTCGTATCTATTTAAACGATTGTTCAAAATGGCAATGCGAGTTAACGACAAGTTAGCCGATAGGCTTTTTTTGTCAGAGACTTCCATCTTGCTTGAGAAGCACTTTTTAGATCCAATTTTTAAAAAGTAGTCGCCTAATTTTGCTATTCCATGATATCAATACATAGAAAAATTAGCAATTTGCCTTGACCATTGTTAAAGCTAAATACAACAACTCATACCTTGACGTGAGGATCAGAGAATTTTTGGTTTTTCAATTGTCCTGGAAGACGTGCAGCAAGTTGTTTGAGTATCATATCTTCACGGTGTCGCATGGGTATAGAGGCAAATTCGCTAGCATTTGCGATAATTTCAATGAGCGCTCTCAACTTGGTCTTTGCTTGAAGGGACATGGAGAAAAGTTCTAGAAAATGGTAAATAACTCAGTTAAACCAAGTGTGAGAAGCAACTAACCTATAGTAGTATAAGAGATATAATAGTAGGCCGCTATCATTCCCAAATTCAATGGCATTGTGTCCATGTCATCTTTGACGGCAATACACTGAAACTCTTGCCAAATTTATGTGAATTCACTGGCTTACTTAGTACCTTGCTATTTTCTAAGTCCTTTAATGTATTCTCTACAAGCTCCGACAGCGCGTCGGAGAGGTGACGGTGAGAGATTTCCTGGAGGTTGTAGTAGTTGGGATTTTGAGTCATGCGACGGTAGAGGAATGTCCACGTAAGGTACTTAAAAAAGCACATCTTGGCTTGAAGATTACACTCCTGATTTGCAAAGATATAACACGCGGAGGGACTCGAACCCCCATTTCCGGATCCGGAGTCCGGCGCCTTCTCCATTAGGCCACGCGTGCACAGTTCGATCGATTTGAATCTTGGTCTCAAGTTCATTCAAGTACACTTTCAAAGAAGTCATTTGCATATCAACAAATACCCTTTGCAGTAGCAATTTTTTCCACCCAATGAAAACGACAATAAACGCACATCAATTGCATCCTGCTTGTTCTCGATAGTTTTCGTAACAATCTCGGCATTGAAATGATCATGGAGACAGTGGTCAAGATGAGATTCTACAGGCAAAGGCTCGTACAGGAATTTCTTGAAGAAATCCTTCTTCGAAGATTGACACATCAGGACACATTTCGCTGAAAAAAAATGCTGTATTCGAAGCCGAGTTTTTCTTTGAGCCTGAAACAATTGCAGTAACAAACAATTGTGCACGGCAAGTCGAATGCGGCTGCAAATGTCTAATAGCGTCTTACAATATGATAATTTACGCATAATTCAGAAAAGAAGCGTAAATTTTTCCACCTTACTGCTCGATATATTCTGGTCCCCAAATCCTGTATTTTCCAAAGTGGCACAATATATTTTTTATCAACATAGTGAGAAGAAATCTTTAATCGATTCTTCCTTTCTCCAATAATTGGCTTACAAAGTAATGACGTAATGAGTGATATTAACGTTTCGGAGCTGGTGAAGGCAGTCATAAAACAGTATTTCGTTTCGTTGTAGGAATAATAGATGTAATTGAGGTTTTCTCTGTGCTAAACCAAAAAGAGCTGCACTTGTGATTGAAAAAAAA